GTAGAATGTAACAAATATGTACGGGAAAGAGAGATTCTACTGAGAGAATTAAATAAAAATAAAAATAATTTGAATATTAGAGAGTTATTCCAGAGATCCTCAGGGGATATAGTTTTTGATAGTATTTTTAGTTTTCTTAGAAAGACGGGTCTTATAAGAAGGATATAAGCTTCTGATCCATACTCCAACACGGAAGGTGGCGGTAATGCACTTTAAAGTTGTTTGCCAACCGCCATAAAAAACCAGAAGAAGAAGAAGAAGAAGAAAAACTCAATAAGCTGTAAGGTCTTTATTTTCGTCTGGGTGAGTAGTTTTTTCTTGCCACTGCTCTTTTTATTGCCTTCGTGTAAAATAATTTTCAGTAGAATTTATTTTATAACACTTTGAAACAACTTAACACTCGATGTTTGTGTGATAACAGACTCCGGTTTGAAACTCACATTGTTTTAGTTTGGGTTAGAAACAAGGGCTTCTGCACAGCGTAAGGTGTATATTTGGCATATTTAATATTCTTGATCCTTCATCCTAACATACGGCTCAGATTAAAAATCTTAATTAAATGCTGTCCTGCAAGAAAATACGTATTTTATTATACTTTGCATGCTCACTTTCATTGGTTCACGCGACAACACGCTGCGTTTGAACTGCTCACGTTTAGAGAAAAAAAAAAGTTGAAATATGTAAAATAACACGTTGCCTTCTGTACTTGATGTTTGCCGAAAATAACAACACAGTTAATAGATTGTGAAGATCGTGTTTATTCTGTGCTGCTTTTATTAGTTATTAGGGGAAAGCAGTAGTTAACAGGAATTGAACGTTATTTAAATGGAGACTGGTATAACGTAATTGTCGATGGAAAATGATAAAACGTCGCCTTGCTTGGATTAATAATGGCTTTACCAACACGTAGACTGTGTAAGAAATGTGTTTAAACATTTCTGAGTGACATAAAGTTTATATTTGCTTTAGCTGCTCTCTCATAGTGGTGTTGCTAACTTCCGGTTATGCGTGACGTTACGTACTACTTGTTGAGGCTGGTTATTTTTGATTTATTTGTATTATTTTTCTCTGGAAAATAGGGTTTTATAGGTGGACCTGCGCAGTTCAGATGCTGATGGTTGCTTTTTTCACTTGCTTGTTTAGTTTAAATGTTGGCTAATTAGTGAAATGTTATTGTTTATTGGTTTTAGAGCAGAGGTTCTCAAACTGTGGTCCCAGGACCCTCAGGGGTCCACGAGCCCTATCTTGGGGGCCCTCAAAAATTTTCAATAAAGGGTATTTTGGATTTTATTTGAAAAATTAACATGAGGAACAATGCACTATTAAAACAAACATACTAAAYCAAACAAAAACATAATATTCTCATAATATTTAGGGGTTAAAATGACAGTAAATTATTTCTAAAACAGCATGGGGTTTATGAGGGGGTCCCTGGAAAATTTTCACACTTGTAAGGGGTCCTCAGACCCAAAAAGTTAGAGAACCCCTGGTTTAGAGAGCCTTAAATAAGGGGTAAACATCATCATGCCCACATTTAGTATTATGATCACTGTTCAAGACAGTCAGTTATGCCTTTTTTCTCCTTTGGTTAGATATTTTTCAGAGTATGTGTATTTCTCTGTCGTGTTAGCAAAATATCTTGCGAACTGATGCCGGTTTATTGAAACATTCAGAAAGTGATTATTGGATGCAAATCTATGATTCATCACTGCTGACTGACTTTGGCAAACACAGAAACTGTTATAACTCAGTCAGCTTTACAGACAATGAGCAAAAATTGGATGTGGTAGTAGCTGAGAGTCATTCTGAACACACACACTGAGTGTCACACGCTTTGTGACATCTTTAAAACGTCATTAATGTCAGTACCTGTTAATGTCAGCCCTGTTTGTTTGTTGGCAGCAAAACAAATGTTGGCAATTGTAAGGGTTTATACTTACACTTCTTATACCAAGGTTATGAGAGTAATTTATTTAGCAAGGATCTCTTATTTTGGATAAACATTTCTTTAGTGCAGAAATGAATGGACACAAAAAGTAACTCTCAGTCAGTGAATGTTGATTTGAACCATAATATGCAATCGTTTATTTTACAAATCATACAAAATTAACTAGAGTACACCTGTTTGTGAACAATTAATTTCCTATAAAAGTTTTGGGACCAACAATAACAAGCTTTTAACTTCTTAATTGTTAACCACACTTAAATAGAACACAAACATCTGTAAGAACCTGCTTTATGAGATTAATGCCAGCTTAATCTCATAAAAGTCATGTTCCACAAGATCTTGCAG